TTCAATTTCCAGTCTAAGCTACAGAACAAGCCACGGTCAACCATGGGGAGGCTACTGTGAATTAGAGAGCTCTGGAGTCTGTGCTGGTTCCTGGTGTAGCCAAAATCTGAGGGGCACAAAGGTAGTTTAAGACTGCATATCTCCACAGTCATCCTGGCTACTCCCTCTTTTTCACACGCAGAAGTCATCCCTCCTTTGCTATATTGTTTAGTTTTTGTTAGTATTTCTTCACTGTTTTGGGTCCTGAAACAGTAAATAAAATGAACCAAAAAGAAAGAAAGAGCCTAGGATTATTCTAAGCTTGATTTTAAAAGCTGCACACCTCTGATTTGTAGTGAGTCATTTGAGGTTAGGAACTTACTAGCTTTTATTGGGGAGGTGGCGATGATGGGATGCAGATGGAAAATGGCAAAGGGAATAGATAGAATGCTGCTGCATCATTCTCTCTGCTCCTCTCCAACAGACAAAATTATTCTTGTATTAAGCATTCAGCTTCTTTGTCTTTAGAGACAAAAGTCTTGTCTCCTTCAAGCTCTGAAACATAACCAGAGATTTTTAGTTTTGTGTCTTGGCTTGTAGCAGGGACATGAGGTATTGTGTAAGATGTGGACCTTGGTGTCCTTACGAAAGCAAGCTGTGGCCCGTGAAAATTTTTGCAGCCTCTCAAAGAATATATCTAGGAGGAAAACAAATAATCGAGAGATCATTTTTAACACCACCGGACTTCACATTGAGTTGAAGAAACCTCTTGCTTTTCCAGTGACCTAGCAAGCAGAGAGGAAATTGGTGGTGGGGCCAGTGCGGAGTAGAAGGGGACCACAGATGCTAATCCCAGCTCTGATACTGGGTGACTGTAACCCTGGGCAAGTCACCTCACTCTGCAGTTCCCTATCAGTGAAGAACAGGAGGTTAATGCTTGTAATGCTTCTCTCATGTGGAATGCAAGGATTAGAAGGGCTGGTGTGTGTCCAGAGCATCCAAGATGTGAGAGCTAAGTGCCCATACAGCGTCTTTTGTCCTAATATAGCTCCTCTCTGTATTATCACAGCAGGTAGTGTGCATGCTGCCAGTCTGAGGCTGGGTCTTTCCCTTCCTTGAAGCTCCTTGCAATGGCTATTAGAGAGCAGGGTTTCCTACATTTTTACGGTGGGAAGACTGATGCCGTCAATCTTACGTAGACAGGATTTAAAAAAAAAAAAAAAAGCCAAAACTTAATTCACCAGTAAGCTACTTTTCATCTCCAAATGTAATAGAAGACTAGTTCCAGTTACTGTTCTGGGAATTCACTTGCTTAGAATAAATGGGAAAAGTGGTACTATAGTGAGATGAGAACCTGTCATGTCTGAGAAAGATAAAAGGGAAGGGGAAACTGGGGAAAATACTTCTTAGTGTTTTTCTCCCCTACAGGCTATGTGTTATTTACCTTCTCCTAGATCCTCCAAGACCTGGCACTGGCATACTTCCAATCATACAGCACTTTGCTAAAGTAAAGGATTTTAGACGCTGATGTGGACTCAGGAGATCTTGATTCTCTTCTGTGCCACAGATTCAAGAAAGCTGTAGTGTCTGTATGCCTTATTTTCCAGCCTCTGGAAAAAAATGCTCTTCCTTTCCTTTGCTTTTTCTGTTTGGCTTTTCAGAGTGTGTATTCTCTTTTTTTATGGAGTCACTCAGACACATTTACACATACTCAGAGAGTTGGATGGGTACAGATATACAGCGTTTAGTGGGGACTTGTGTAAGCTCTACAGTGATAGTTAGAACTAGGTCAACACTTGGAAATGTTTAAACCACTCTTGCTGGCCTGTCTGGAAATAACATGTACTACTACTGTGCCATGTAACGCACCAGCAAAACATTGGCTTGCACAGAGATGGAGGCAGGTGCTGAATTATGCCCTTGTTTAATCGAAAATCTCCTAGTTGGGGGCTATCCTAAAAAAAAAAAGCATCATACTGGAGGGAATAGGGTTGGCAGGTGACCAGCTGCAAATCCAAACTCAGAAATCCTAGCTGCAACATAACCATGTAGTACTTGTGGAATAATCCCTGCAGCATTTATTTCTTGCACTTGACCACTGGGGAATGTGTTTGTCGTCCTTCTCACTCCTGTCACGTTGAGGGCTTTGTCAGATCAGAATACATCGTTGCTGTGCTTCTCTGTGTCCCTTGACTTGTCAGAGGCACAAATCTTTTTCAAATGTTCTCCCCTGTTCATTTCCATTATTATATCTGGTGCTTCTAGGTGGCAAGCAGAAATGAATAACCTTGTAAATGCTCCCTGTCTTTCAATTTGTTTTATTTTTCATACAACGTGTCAGTGCATTTTTGTTGAGTGTTTTTAATAAGATGAAGTTGATGAAAATAAATTGCTTTGCAGTTCCTGCTGTGGGTGACAGAAATGCTGGGTCTGTAATTTTCCAAAACTGTGCATTGAAACCAGTGTGGAGGGTGTTCTGTATGCCTGTAACTGCAATCATCTTCGTAAAATACCTCCCAGAAAAAGAAAGCAGCTAGCAATTTGAATTTGGGGGGCAAGATGCACTGCTGTATCGAGATTCTGCTGGGCACAGTGAAAGAGGGAGCTGCCAGGGAGAATTTTAGGATTGATTCTGTGCCAGGCTTGGTTCTGCCATATGGGATAGTTAGCCAGATCTGTCTCTAGTATGAGAGGGAGAATGAATTGTATAGCAAACCCTCTTACCAGACTGTCTGTTAGCCAAGGCTTGGAAAGTGAGGAGTGGGACTTGAAAATGTGGACCCCGCCGCTGCCCATAGCTACTGCATATCAGCTTTCTTCTGAGTGGTTTGATGTTTTGTCCAAAAAAAGTAATGCAGATAAACGGTGATCTCCAGATTACCAAGGGGTAGTCCGTAGACAGTCGGGTAACTACTCACCTCGTCTTGGAAAGAAGATAATCCACATATTCCAAAGTGATTTTCAAGTCAAGATTTTTCTCACGTTTTACTTGTTTTAATGGAAAAAAAAAAAAGTCAGTGTTACCATATTTCTTGTAAAAGTTTCTATTTTGATAAAAATGGCAAAATATGGTGTTTTAATTCCCTAAAATTTATTATTTCATTTTTTTTGTCCAATTTTTTATGCTTTTGTACTACTTACCTGACAAGACAATATTCATGTCCATCTCTTACTGCGTTCTCTGCTGCGTTTCTGTAAGGCAGGGAAATGCTTTCTCCCTGTGCTGGCTGGGAGCTGGCACATGGGAGTCGTGCAGGAGCTGCTCATGGCCCAGGAGCTCAGGGCCCACTTTTGCAACTTCACGGCTAACGCCATTATTGTTAAGGCAATTTTACTTTCCTCAGAACAGTTTTTAGTCCTACTGTTCCATCTTTTTGGAAACATTGAAAACAGGAATAATTAAGCCCCCAAATTTATAATAATTTTCCCTTCCAAATTTAGAATTGTCCTCTGGGATGATGCTGCTTGAGGTACAGAAAAGACAGTATCCTGGATTAGTTCTTTTCATTGTCCACTCAGATTTGAAGAGTTGGTAATAAAACTAGCTTGCTGTAAAGCAAAGCATGGAGAGCTAGGGATCATACTGCACACACAGTCCAGCCTGGTCTGCGGTGCTCCTGGGAGGAGGGAACTGAGAAGTACGCTCAAAATTTAAAAAAAAACATCTGAATCCTGTTTTCAAGTTTTCTGATGATGTTTCTCAAACAAACTGCCAAAGGTTTGAATGCCCTGTTCACCCTTGCATTGTTGCTTTGCAAAAAGCACCTTTCAGATCACAGGCCTGGCTGTGCAACCCCAAAACGCACTTCAGAGGAGTTAGGCAGGGAGGGAGGAGTACAGGTTTCTGCCTCTCTTACAGGGTTTAAACCAGCTGACAGAGACAAAGAACAAAAGTGATTTTTCACTAAAAGTAATAATAATTTGTTGCTCATACTTGTCATTTCAGGTTCTGAATAAAGAATCCCGCTGCATCATGTCTTCATCCTGTGTTTGAATAGTATATGATGGGCAAACAAGCAAGGAGACAGTAGAGCACAAAATCACAAGAGAGATGGACAAACGGAGGTTTCAAACAACCCTCTTGCCAATAAAAGCCTGTGGCTTAGTCTATACCTTATCTGGTTTATTTTAAAATGGTTCAGCTGATGGTGTTCCTGCCACTTCCCTGGGGAAAATACTTCATTCCCACTGTTAGGCAACATTTCAGGAGATTTCTACTAAGTTGTCCTCTGTTTGGCTGCCTTTCATTACCCCTACTTAAAACAACAAGGTGGTCCTTCCATGGCAAGTCCTTCCCTTCTGGAAGGTTTCACTCTTCTCTCTCTGACTGCCAGGAGTGAGGTCTGGGCTTTCCTCTCTCGCTCCTAGGTCCCTGTTGTGCCACATCTATTCACTCGGTGTCACATTCTTCACATGTGAGTTGCAAGAGACAGCAGCTACTCCAGCAAATCACAGCTGTTCAGCAGCAAAAGATGAACCCCTGACTTAGGTTGCACACATGTAGTGATTTTTCTCTTTTTCCATAATTTAAACTGTTCACCTTTTTTAATTTTCTCTAATTTATTGACATCTATCTGGTTCTCAGGTGTCCGAGACAGAACAGTATGTCAGTGCAGCTTTGCCACAGCTGTCTTACAAAGAAAGTGTCAGCTCGGTTAAGGGACCTGAAGCTTCCTAGTACGCAGTCTGACTCCAGCGTAGCTTTAAGAGCTGCCGTGAAAGCTTATATCACATTATTATCTTCTTCCCTTCCTGGTCTTTTGAGTAATTTTTGGCTTCCAGATAACCTCTCACTATTATATTGAACACTGACTCCAACAGTGGCATGTCTGAAGTTTGCAGAACCTCTGTTAGAAATGTTAATCACTCCTCATTTTAAAATTCTGATTCTTTTCCACCGTTCTTTCCAGAAGTGTTCTCCCTGACCGCATGTAAATAGAGGTGTTTGTACATAACTGTGTGAGCATGAGGGGGTTGCTATGATAATGTGCTTACAAAATCCTGGCTTTGTTATTTTCTAGGTATTTGGTGCTAGAACATGTGTCAGGTGGGGAGCTCTTCGACTATCTCGTAAAAAAGGGAAGATTGACACCAAAAGAAGCCAGGAAGTTCTTCCGACAAATCATCTCTGCTTTAGACTTCTGCCATAGTCATTCAATATGGTGAGTAGAGCCATTTCCAACAGGCATTACCTGTTACGTAAAAGCACAGAATAAAGAGATCTTATTTCTTGATGCTTTTACTTACTATTAAGTAACACGTTGTAAAGCTCTAACGGCATTGTGCAAAGTGCTGATGTATTTTTTAATTCTTGGCTGGCTGTGAGACAGTGTGCCGGTCACAGACCGACTTGTCATGGAGAAGATTGTCCATCATTTCTCTCTGGAGGAGAATTCATTCACAGGGAATGCTTTAACCAGGTAAACCAAAACACCAAGGAAGCGCCGTTTAATTTCCATCGTTCTTGAGGCACTTGCTAATAACTGAGAATTTCATACACTTTATCAAAATGAATCCCTGAAGAAACTTGGGATAATTACAAATACAGCAAAGTGATTCTATGCCTTCCTTCAGTTTTTGGAAACCTGCTGGCTTTTGGCAACCTTCACTGAGTCCCTCCTGGGCATTTGATTCACTGTTACCTTTAATTTCCTTTCCAGTAGGGAAGAATTTCCTTGATCTGACTGCTATTGATACTCACTACCTCCATCATATGATTTAACCATCAAGTGTGGTTTAACCTGTGCTTTAAAGTGTTGTTTTAAATTGGACCAGTTTCTCCTCATCTTCAGCAAGTTTAGGTAATCTAAATTATCCTGAAATCGAGTTGTTATAATCAGTCTGAGCACAGTTTCTATATAGCTGCTGACCCATAACTGCCTGCTTATTTCTCCGAGACGCAGCTCCTCGCGGTTAGATTGGCTGGGGGAGACCATTTACATTATGTCTGCATGGCTGCTCCTCCATAGCCACAGACAGCTGTAGATCCCCCCCTCCAGGAGGCCGAGGGCCACCGATAGATACTGCAGTAGTTGGATTTGCATAATCACTGTGTGGTTACTTCTCAGTAACTGTACAATGATTTTTCTGTACCCCCAGATGTCCACAGCATAAACGGCCATGGCAAAAATGGATGCCTAAATATTTAACCTGCTCTTCTAGCCCCTCCCTTTACATCTCTGTCTCATTTCAACAGGAAATATTAGTCTGAAAGAGGACATATTTCTAATAAATGGAAAGGGAAATAAGAGCCTTCCTTGAGGATATATAAAGGAGAGTACACTGTTAGCAGAAGAGGCAGTTCAGAGGTGGTGGATCTGGGTGAGAAGGGCCTGAGGACAATGCCTGCCTGGCACAGGCAGGCTTACAGTAGCCAGAGAAATTCCCAGAGGAGCCGAGAGCAGGTTACATGCCCTCAGTAGAGGATCTAAGTTTTCTCTGTTGGCAGAGACCTCTGAAAAATTTTATTCTGCGAATCCCCCAATTTTTCCTCCCCACTAATCAACTGGTTTGAGTGATCATGACCCTCTTATAATCAGCATCATCCTTGGTAGATTGTACAGCTGTTATTTTTTATGTACACTGGGCAGTGTAACCACTGGTGGATTGCATGCGTACAAGTTTCTGTTCCCTACTTGCTTAACACTCAGAGACCCAAACCAAGAAGACTCAAAAATGTTTAAGTGCAACTAGAGAGAAGTTATTTACTCTTCCAAATGAATATTCCAGAGTAATGTGAATCTGCCTTGGGGTGGAAGTTTCTACAAAACCATGCATATATACACAAGCACAGTGGTCCTGTGGGCTTGCGATGGATACCTCTTGGTATGGCAGACTTCAGTAAACTGAGTGAGGCTGTCAGACAGACAAGCACCTCTGCAGCTTTAACAGTATGTGGAATGTTGAAGGCAGAGTGCATGTCTCTCTTGAGGAATCCATTTTCCTCGGTTAAACATATTGGATTGTGGGCAGTAGTCTTGTTTAGAAGTAAATCCCCTGTCTCCTTGCCAACTCCCACTCGACTAGCATCTAGTGCTGAATAAGTTAGCAGTAAATCTTAAGCTCTCCCTCCCTCCAGGTCACTCTGAGACTTGTGTGATCTGTGTTCTCTAGACCCCGTGTTGTATTCTGGACAGTTATCATTAAATCCTTTTAGAAAATCAGAGCATGCATAAATACGTGTGTGTGTGTGTGTGTGTGTGTGTGTGTGTGAGAGAGAGAGAGTATAAAAGTTAATGTGCTTTCCTAAGCAATGAAGCCTGACCTTGTCCTGTCGTGGGGCAGTGAAATGACAAATCATCTCATCAGCCAGGTTATCCAGTTATGACCACATTGAAAAATGAAGGCTTCTGCTTTGGTTAATGACTAAATGTGGGTGCCTCTAACCTGCTGGCAGAATAGATTGATAGTCTAGTGTCCACAGCCCCATATCATTGTCCCATCTTCTTCCTGTACTTCCCAAAACACTGTGAAATATCTGTGGCTTACTTTCACAGCAGTATCTAACCCCATTCAGCTTTCACTGCTCAAAATGTATTGATGCACCAGGATTCCCGGATCAAAGAATCAGACAGGATTCCCCAATCCTCCTCTCAGTAAAAGGCTTCTGTTGCTGCTGTGTGGAGAGACGGCCTGTGTCTGAGAGGTGTTTTCAAACAAGCAGCTCAGACAAGGAAGCAGAGTTGTCTTGGAGCTTGAGCCTGTTTGTGTGTTGCTTTAAAAAAGTAGTTTTCTGTTCTTATTGTATTTAATGGAAACAGTGGGGGGTATTTGACATATCTCACTCTGAGGTGCAGTTACTTGGGGAATTTTGTGGTAGGGGTTGGTGATGGGGGAAAGCTTGTAGGTGACCCACTGTAGAGCTCTAAGGACTTTTCTGTGCACAGGGCACCGTGCTGTGCTAGGGACCCAGAGGCAACCGTGGGTGCAAACAGGCAGCGCCATGCAGAGGTATTATGGGATCCTGCAAACAGTGTATCTGTGCTACCTTGCTGCTTTGCCTGAGCTGGCAAGCCAAGTGGTTAGCTCAGCGATGCAGTATTACTGCTTCTGCCTCCAGCCCTTCCTCTGGGCGAACTCCGAGGGCTCTGCATCGTGCTGCAGTGCCCGGAGCAGACGCGTTCAACAGTGGTGCCGAGATGGCAGAGGAACCTGCACTCTCTCGGACATCACTGTAAGACCATTCTAGCCTGGGAAGTTTTCTTTAGACATAACTGCATTTTTTTTCCTAAGCTGCCATTCAGCTAATGCTGTGTGTCCGCTCTCCTAAATTCAGGGCCTTTAAGATGTCTCAGCTGGGTGCCCCAAATCAATAGTCCCTTCTGAATAACCTGCCTCCATACTGCGGGAGAGCTCTCCGCTGATTCAGTGCCGACTGTATTTTCTGTCGGAAACAATGTAGGAGCACGTATCGGGGTAGGTCGCAAATCCTGGCTTTCATCAGGAAGAGTCTCTTTTATCTGGAGCGAGGAAGTGCTGCAGCCCAGCGAGGGCGGGAGAGCTGGCGGGCACCTCGTTGGCTGGCAGTGACATCACCGGCAGGCGCGGGGATTGGCGGCCGGCGCATTTTGTCTGTCTTGGGTTTTTGCTTTGGTCAAGCTCATATTTGGTGTCTGTATCTCACAAGCTGACAAATAAAAATATGATTACAGAAAATGCCCCATGGCAAACCTTATTACAGCTTCAGAGATAACAGATAATGCCAATTACTGTGCAGGGCAGTGGTGACACTGAGAGGAAATCCCCTGCGGTAATGAGCAGCAAGATGATTATTTCATTTTATTTTTATTTTGGTTGGGTTTCATTTTGTGGTTTTTTTTTTCCCGAGCATGCACAAGAGGGGTTAAGGCAGGTTCTTTATGAATATTGATAAATGACAATTATGAGGGCCCTTTCTCCTTTCATTGCCTGGGGCTGTGCTTGCTTGAGTACGCACAAGGCTCTTGCTGAAGTGTGTCTGTGTGTGCATGCGTAGGCATGGGGGTGTGTGACTTAGAGGGCTGAGGCAATGAATAAGAGCTTTGTTTGACTTTGCCTTGTGTTCTCCCCGTCAGTGCAGAGGGGGGGAAAGGCTCCTCATAATATAACGCTTCATGATTTCACAGCACTAGTGTCAAAATCTCTGGTATATTCCTGCAGTCAGGAGCTGCAGAGCATGTCAGTAAAGGAAGCACACTTTTAGGGAGAAATCTGGGGTGTCTTTCTTTGAGAAACAGAGAAAGCTGAAGAATGCCAGGTGCCATGTTCTGTCAGATAGTGCCACCCTCATGATTCCTTCTCTGCCTTGCTTCATTTATAAGGAGCATGCTACAGTGTTCTGCGGGGACAGTCTGTCAAACACTTAAGGCTGCAGCAGCTGGACACTTTGAAATCATGACTTAAGGCCTCCAAATGTTACACTGATCTAGAAATCGTGGCATTTAATAAGGTTGGTTTCTGGTGGGTTTCATTTTCTGGTCCTTGAGTCTTTAGGTTTTCAAGTTTTCTTTCAGACCATCAGAAGTGAGAAAGGTACCTTTTTCCCCTGTGGAGAGCTGAGATTCACCATTTATTGCCTGAATCCAGGAGTTTCAGATCTGTGAGTGAGACTCACTCTAAAACAGTGAGGAATTTTCAAATTTCCCTTGAACAGGAAACCAGAGAAAACCCATCAAGTACAGCAGCTGCAGTGTCAAAGGCAAAGTTACCAGCTCAGCTAAAGTCAGAGAACATATATTTTCATGAGTTTACTTCTTTATATAAGCCACTGGAAACTCAAAAATGGCATAGTCTTACTGTAAGCATAACCAGGTAACATTCTCTGGCAAGTACAGCAGTGGTGATCAGACCTGACAGTCTGTTCTAGCTTTGAAATACATGAATATATGTTTTGAGGTGAGGTTGGTAGAGAGAAGCAATACATTTTAATAGATCAATAGAAGTAATTGTTAAAAAGCAAGCAAGGTTTTATGCATACTAACCCTTCTCCAGGTCTCCTGATATGTTTATAGATGTTGTCCTTTTTCCTAGCTATAACTATATTTACTTGTTCTGCAGAATTCTGTGAAAACTTACTAAATTTGAGCATAGCAACCATAGCTCTAAACAAAGATTCTTCTGTAGGTAGATACAAGTTCCACATTCAGATCTGATTTGCAGAACCAAAAGAAAATAAGATGAAAGA